GCAAATGTAAATACATGATGAGAGAGATAGACTGTTTATCAGTGGGAAGAATAGAGATCCACTGAAGCTAATGTACCAAGTCTGGGAAATATCTCTGGGAAAACCAGATGGGCCGAAACGGATTTCAGACAAATTAATTACAACAACAGACTGCATTTAAAATGTTGAGCTGCCTCATATCCTGTGCAATATTAGCTTGTTTTTGTCTTAATTTGTACACAATCATATCTGTGAGGCATAATGGGGCTTTTAATAACATTGGAATGTAATAACTGCCAAACGTAGTCTAATAAACAGAATTTAATCTAACCTCTCTTGGGCTTTTTCATGATTTTTATTTCGGCAAATCTTAGAGTTGCTGCAATACTATGTGTAGCAACAACAACTGGATGTGTGCATACAGCAGATAGAGCACAACCTTTCTACAACCCCAGAAGATGTATGACTTATCTTTTGAACTGTGCTACATTTCCAGATTTATCAAAGCTTGCAAGATCCAAGATTCAGGCTGTTCAAAGAGCCCCAGAAACAATCAACCATCTCACTGCAGGGTGTAAGACACTGGCAGGAAAGGAATACATGGAACATCATAACCAAGTGGCTAGAGCAGTGTACAGAAACATCTGTGCAAAATACAAACAGGGGACTCCAGGTCCAAATCGGTGTAGAATAATGGAGCTCTGGAGATCCTGTGGGACTTCCAGATACAAACAGATAAAATGCTTTTGGCCAACCAACTGGACATTGTGATCACTGATAAGCAGAAGAGGACAGTCATAGTGATTGATGTGGCCATCTCAAATGATGGAAACATCAGGAAAAATCTGGAAGAATACCAAGGCCTCAGCAAGAACTAGAGAAAGCCTGGAAGGTGAAGACAGAGACAGTGCTCATAGGAACACTGGGAGCAGTTACCCCCACACTGGAAAAGCGCCTTCAACAGATAATATATATTATATATATATATATATATATTATATATATATATATATATATATATATATATATATATATTTTTTTTTTTTTTTTGTTTTACTTCAAAATACAGTTAAAGGAAATCAATTGCTTATTGAGGACACTTAATCAGGTAACAGACTTTCCCTGTAGGTAACTGAATCTTTGTATTGATCTAGCCCTTTCATGAAGGCTTGTTAGAGAACATTACAGAACAAACAGTTTTGTGAAGACCAACGAACACAGAAGCCAGGTAGCTGTAATGCAGGGTTAATTGATAAAGATCCAAGCTCTGAGAATCTCACAGTGCATGGTTTAATCCTTCCTCTGACATAGCTATCAGATGGTGCTTTCCCCTGCATTTTGCCATAGACAAGGGAGGGAACCCTGTAACAATTTAGAAGGTTCTCTTGTCAACCAATTAACCTAACAGTCATTTTTGTTGGACTGTGAAAGGAAGCCGGAGTACCCAGAGAAAACCTACGCATGCTCAGAGAGACCAATGCTTCATTTTTCGAATATTTAGTGAAGTAAATCTGGCAAGGGTGTATTATGTACACTCCTGAGTCCTATAGGGTGAACCTGCTATATACCTCAAAGCAGCATGGTAAACAGGGTCCAGTTTAGTTAAAGTAGTTGTTTGACAGGCAAATCTATAGATGTAAAGAGATAAATTTGGCAAAAAGTTCAGGCCCAGAATGGTGCAGGCATGCCTCAATAAACTGCAGTATTATTAAAGGAAAATGAAAACTATAACATGTCACACTTTTTAGATTTGCAGAATGCATCATTCACAGTTATGCTTAACACTTTTCCAAGTGTTGAACTCATGAGGCCCATTGCTTCTTCAGAGTCCACTTTAAGTTTTCTAAAACCACTAAGTTTTTCCTTAAATAGATTGAAACAGTTAAAAGCAGGACTTTGCCCTCCAAACCTCACAACTCTCTCATTTGTTCCTGTGTCATCCATTTTCTCACTTCTTCCATTAGGTCCGTCCAAAAAGTTTCTCCAGATTACATTTTCAGACAGACCCTTTTTGTTTTTACAAAGCTTTCAATTGTGCTTTCTCACTTTCTGCCGTCAATTGCTCCCCCTGGCAGGATGAAGTTTCAGTTACAATCTGTCAGGAGGACAAGCTAAAAGGGTGAGGTTCAGCCACATTGCAAACATCCTATTGAAAACTACACAGAGGCGAGCAAAATCCCAATAGACATGTTATTTTTTTTACAGTAACAAATGTCTATAATGTGGTAGAAACACTTTCTTTTAAATCTTTTCAAAACCACAATCTCTAACCTTTGTAACTTAAAGGCTGCGTTACCACTTGTTTGCTTAGGCTATGCATGTCTGTGACCTATTTGTACTTTCTATTCTCAATCCCACATTTGAACTTTTTGCATCGCAGAAACCCATTTAATGTTGTGCAAGAAGTTGCTAGTGAAACTTCTTGTATGTTTCAGTAATTATAACCACAGCTTCACTGCATGCTGGGGTGCATTTTAGAAGAAGAGAGGGGAATCAGATTTTTCCACTTTTAGCTCCCACCTAATGGCTTCTGTATTGTTCCAAAAACCCATATCAGAATCAGAATCAGAAATACTTTAATAATCCCAGAGTGAAATTACTTTTGCTACACACTCAAGATGTAATTTTTATTTAAATATATTAAATATACATAATATATATACATATTAATATCTCTCTCTCTCTCTCTCTCTCTCTCTCTCTCTCTCTCTCTCTCTCTATATATATATATATATATATATATATATATATATATATATATATATAAAAATTCAGAATTTTTTATTTTTTTCTTGTAACCTGTTTAGCACTTTGGTTTCAGATGTGTTTGCTTGTGGTTTCAACAGGATGCTGGGAGGTTGCACTCTTTAGCTATGAAGCACATTTCTGTATGGGTTCACTGATTACTTCTATAACTTTGCAAAATGTAATAATTTTAACATACATAAAAATATAAAGAAATTTATGGCAAAAACCATAGACACATCTGCAGTTTTGCACAGGCATTAATCTATCCAGCCACATCTTCATCTGTATTAAGTTTATTTAGTGGTTTAAATACATTGTCTACTTCTCAACACACATTCAGTTAATTTCTGTTATCTATCTATCTATATCTATCTATATCTATCTATCTATCTATCTATCTATCTATCTATCTATCTATCTATCTATCTATCTATCTATCTATCTATCTATCTATCTNTATCTATCTATCTATCTATCTATCTATCTATCTATCTATCTATCTATCTATCTATCTATCTATCTATCTATCTATCTATCTACCTACCTACCTGTGTTGAAATGACACATGTGAATACGCGCTACATAAATAAATAAATACATAAATATACTGAATTGAAACTGAATTATAGATAGATCGATGGATGTCCTTTCTCTGTTAGTATCTATTGTACTCCACTTGTCTCTCTTTTACTCTGTTCTACATGGTTTGGTTAATTTTCCATTACAATTATTTACCTTCACAATGTGGGCTGGATATTCAATACAAGTGTCCTCATAGTCCAACAAAGTAAAGTGATGTGATTTGTAGTGACACAACATCCGCTGTTCAGTCTATTGCTGCAGATGGGAAGACAAAACACTCAAAACAAATACAGGAGAGAGGCCAGCCACACATTTAACTCAGGATATATATACAGTAGAGATTAGTAGTAACTAGTGACATTAATTCACTTTTGAGTATCTTTTGGTAAACAAAGAGTTATTTTATGAGTAGTTGTATTTTACTGTAGTTTTAATTTTCACTTGAGTAGTAACCTTATGAGTGTCAGAAGGCTCAGAATGAAGGACCCAGAATCCAGGCAAGACAGCCAGTGATATATTAAAAGGTGTTTATTGAAATAAGTGTGAGGCTGCTCATCTACTGTGGCAGGCTCACTTGAAACTCTGCAGGAGTAGAGGCTCAGGTCAGTAACTTCAGTACTCAAATAAGGAACAGCAATGAAAGCATGAAAGCCACCAACCTGGCAAAGTTAAGTCTGTGCCCAGAAGAAGGAGTGTAGTCCAGAAAAGTGGAGCTCCATTGCCAGCCAAATACACAGATGACAGGTCCAAGGTCGACAACAGGCGACATTTAGGGCAACAATCCGGAAAACAGGACTGGCAAAACAGAGCAGAACAGGGGCGGCCAAAACTCAGAAGTCCGTGGTCAGAAACAGGTCAGGAACAGGCAGGACTAAACACATACAGGATCACCAGAGTTAGTCTCACTTGGAGGGGGCCACCTGCTAGGCTGCTGCAGACAACTTCGAATAAAGACGAAAAAATATTTTTCAGTATTTAATCGTGTTTCTTCTACACATAGCTATGTTATGCAGCGACTAACATTGAGGTCTGTCTTTAATCCCTTTGAATTGAAAGTTGGCTGTTATCTGCATAACTGTTTGTTTCCTAAACAAAGACACCAATTAAGCTAAATTTTTCATTACCTTCTCTAACACAGAAAGTATTTGCATAGTAGCAGCGGATCTGTCTGCCTGAATTGATCAAATTGACTTTGTAAAGTGCCTTGAGATGAAATGTGGTATGAATTGGCACTTTAGAAGTGCTAAACAGTTGAATAGAAATGAATGGTGCTAAACAGCTTTTTTTTTTTTTACAATAATTTATAGTCCTGCACAGTTTTTTATTTGATTAAAACGTGTTTCTAATGAACCTTTGTCTTATAAACTGACCCTTATATATTACAGTCAGTAGGAGCCCTTTACATCAAAGTAACTTTCTTAGTGAGATAAAGGGCAAAAGTCATAACTATTAACTAGAACACTGTTCAAATAGTCTGCAAAACAGTTTGTCTTAATTGTTGAAATAAAGAAAATTAACTTTTCTGCTTATTGAAATGTTTTTAGAGGGTTTTAAGATCTGCATCGGTTTACACCTTCTGTTTTTTTAACTTAAAATATAACATAGGAAATCAAAAACCACAAACAGACACAGCCTACGCTTGAGAACATTCTAGCACATGCTGATAGCAGTCTGCAAAACTCACCATCAAGATAGCAGCTTCTTTGGTAAGACTTCTACCATTTTGTGTAAAGGGATTTAAGCAACAGATTGATGCTCCTATTTTCTAACTCCTGATTTTAACTTGATTTACTCTAAGATATGTTGAATGGAAATTAAGCTGCACATTTTATGGCTTTCATTCATTGAGCTCAACTCATACATGTCTGATTGTGGGGAGATTTTGTTTTTCACCTGATCTTCACTTAAACACAGATGATGCTATTTTTAAAAAAAGTTTCACAACTGCTTTTTCTAACAGTACAGGATGTTCTCCAATGTCACTGTCATCTGTAATGCGACCGTCAATGTGACTGCTTGCTCCTACTGTGCCCTTGAGGGGTTGGCTTACAGTCTGGTGTTTCTCCTCGGTCTCCTCATCAATAGTGCGGCTCTGTGGGCCTTCATCGCCAAACGAGCCTCCTGGACTGACTGCCACATCTACATGCTGAATTTGGTTGTGGCTGACTTTGCCCTCATCATTTTCCTTCCCTTTAGGATTTATGATGCCTTCTTCTGTCTACCTAAAACATTTCTCTGCACCTTCCTACATTTCACTCACTACATCAACATGTATGCCAGCATCCTGACCACGACAGCCATCAGCGCCCACCGCTATCTGACCATCAGGTTCCCTCTGCAGGCCAGATCATGGAGGAAGAAGAAAGTGGCAGCGGTGGTCGTATGTTTACTCATCTGGGTGATTTTGGTCTCAGTTGTTGTAGTTGTTCGAAAGCAAAACTATCCTGACAAACTCTGGACATGCTATGAAAGATGCAAAGATGCTCGTTTCCGTCCACAGTTTACAATAGCCCTGTTATGTCTAGGCTACCTGGCTCCTCTGATGATAATCGTGTTCTGTTCCAGTCGAACCATCTGTATCTTGGTGAAAGAGCAAAATAAGTCAAAGGACAAGAAAAGAATTGTTGAGATAGTTAAAGCAAACCTGATTGTTTTTCTTGTCTGCTACACGCTGTACCACTTTGCCTTTGTGATCAGCTTATTCTACAAAGTACCGTCAAACTGGATGTATGTATATTTACCCTCTCACAGGTTTTTACAAGTGTCTGAGTGGATTGCTTCCACAAACTGTGTCTTAGACTCTATAAGCTTCTACTTTTTATTGAAAAAGTTTTACATATAAATCAATGATAGCATAATAACACTCCTACGGTATTGCCTATTGCTTGTATATAGGTGTGTTGTTTTTTTGTTTTTTTTTTTAGAATAGTGACTGGCACACTGGAAAGTTCTTAAGAGTTGCTTGAAATTAAAAGATTCTTAGAGAGAAACACTGACAACCCAATTTTGGTTTCCCGGTAGAAGCTCAGATGTTTTTTTAATTAAAAATACTTTTGTTTCAGCTGCTTTTGTACGTGTCAAAAACAAGCTCAGAGTGAACCATGCTTTCGTGCTGGCAGCTCCTAAGTTGTATATCAATCTTCCCTTGGTTATCAGACAGGCCTCTTCACTTTTCTGACTGTAACTGTATAGATATATTATTCATTTTATTTAGTATTTATTTTCAAGTTTCTTTATTCTCAGTTAATTGTTATCTAATGTCTTTCAGAAAAAGTAATTCCTCCGACCATTTTAAAGTCTTTTTTGTAAAGAGAAAATGAAGGTTTGTCAAAACGGAAACCACTGACTAAATATAAATGCAGTTTGTAAAACAGGGAAGTCAGTCTCCCTCTGAAATCGTGTTTTTAAAAATTGCCACCTGTAAAAAATGTGTGACATTTTAATCATCATTTATTGTTTGTTTTTTTTTGTTTTTTTTTTGGCTTTCTTTTCTGAGTTATATTTGTGAATCTGTGGTTGTGGCGACATTTTTGTATTGCAGATCAGCAGTGAGATATCATACTGTTTGGTTATTACACATTTGCACATGGTGATCTCTTACAAAGTACAGAGTGTGCACCACTGACAGCTACTCCATCCTAAGGGTTCAGCTTACAATGTTTTTTTTTTTTTTTACTTGTAGTCTGCAATCACTAAAACTAAAATACGTTTTTGCAAAACATAAATCACCTGCCTTTTTAAACCCACATTTTCCTTGAAGGGACCATACAAACAAACATATCATCTTCCATGTTAGTTTAATGGTTTAGTATTAGTTGTTGAATTTGGAGAAAACCTTAGAAACTACAGCAATACACTAGACAATACAGCATAATGAGAAGTGTGGAAATAATCCATGTTACATAAAATACTACATATACTCTGATAACATTGTCAACACACACCCAAACACACCGACATTTGAAAGGGTAATGAGGCCAAGACACAATTGTGGTTTAGAAGAACAATATAGTTTATGAGGTCTGTTTACAAAAATATACAACTTCAGAAAATGCAGGGTTTAAGGAAACTTTGAAACATTATGAGGTCAAGCCACAAATCTATACCTAGCCTTCTGTACCCATAGCTGAGCTCATGTAAAACCTATATCACACTTTATGCATGAAAATGCACAGTCACACACATTAGAGCCGATCATTGTGCTATCTATGCAAGTGTGTGACTGAGCCTGTGCGTGTGGTTTGCGCATTGATGCTGTCAAGTTTGTTAAAATGCTCTGCTGTAGGTGTTTTTGCTGTCTGTGTTGTTTTCTGTGTTCAGGTTTCCCCATGAACGCTTCAGGAGCAGTTTGATACCAGCTGGTTGTTGGATTCTGTTATGTTTGCTTTATATGTTCCCCCTCACTCTGCACCCCCTTTCTATCCCCCTCTCTCTGTCTTCCTTTCTCCCCAGTCATGTTTGGCATCAGAATGTACAGACAGACCAAAAGTTTCAACAGGCCTACTCATTCAATGAGTTTTCTTTATTTTCATGACTATAAAAAACTATAGATTCACACCGAAGGCTTAAAAAATATGAATTAACACGTGGAAAAATATACTTAACAAAAAACTGTGAAACAACTGAAAATATGTCTTTTATATTTGTCATTAAATAGAGGTAGGAGCAGGTGGGTCAGATGAGCAGTGATCATAAACTGGGCAGAGTTAGATAGGTTAATGATATGAGCGATTAAGCCGTCATCAGCGCCAAGATCATGACAGCCCTCACCCTGACAATAACCCTAAAAGTAAACTTTAACCAATCCATACCTAGGTCTCAGACTTTGTTCAACCTTCAAATGCTATTTGGGGGGGGATTGAAAGAAAACACCAATTTAAAAAAAATTAACACCCAATGTAGTTCTCTAGGCATTATTTTATCATATCTTTTCCTAAAGGTAACTATAAAAGGCTTTAAAAACTATATGAATGTTCTTTCTACTTGTTCTTATGATTGCTGCATCTGGCACTCTGTTTAACTGTGTCACAGTCCTTGAGGAAGCTATTTGCTAGGCTGCTGCAGACACCTTCTGTTATATTCCACCTCGGTTTATTTATATAGCGCCATTTCACAACACATGTAATCTAAAGGTACTTTACAGAGACAGTTCAACCAGATCATCCAGTCAGATTGGTTTGATGTTTTCTATCTAAGGAAAACCAGCTGACTCCATCAACTCATTGACTTGAAAATAATACCTCACAAAAAACCTGCTTGTAGAGACAGTGGAGAGGAAAAATCCCTTTGAACAGAAAGAAACCTCAAGTAGATACCGGCTCATTGTGAGCGGCCATCTGCTACAAAAAAAAGCTGACATACAAAGGCAAACTCTCAACCAGCTACATCAATGGAATGACTGAGTATGTGACTAACTACACACATTTCTGTTTAGATAACACTGTGGTAAATATGTAACTTAATCAGATATTATTTGGACTGTCATATATTGTTTGGGAAAACCTGCCCTACTGGCTGCGTGCAAGGTCATATGCAGGGCTCAAAAAAATACGGAGGTCAAGTGTCGGTCACTTCTCAGTGGGTTCAGCGGCATGCAAATGAAGCTGTTTTTAATTCTATTATTCAAAATTCACCATTTTCAGAGTGGCCCAGTGAGTAAAACTCTTGAAGTCGCCATAGGTACCACAGAAAATGTATTCAATATTTTGAAAATATTAACCGTTTCCTTTATTTTTTTTCTGTGCACGATTTCCTGTCCCGCACAACCTGCTCTGTGCTCTTGCTTTGCTGACCTCCCGGCATCTCACAGAAGTATAAAAAAGTTTCACATCCAACACTGATAAACCAACGTTAACTGATAAACATTTCCTTTTCAGTTCAACATCGCTAACATATCAATCACATGATGAATGATGATTCAACTGCTGGAAATTGACTGATGTACAGACGGAGTTAATTAAACTTTGGTTACATGTTCCTTTGCTGTCTCAGTAGCACCCTGCTCTGAAATCCTTCCTCTTGAAAATGCATATTTTTCTCCCAATCATCTACAACTTTATCTGCCTTCCACCAACATTCGTAGCTCAATATGCTCCTCTTCCAGTGACTGTTGTGACTGACGGACTCACTAACAGGGCCTTTAGCCTGTTTGGAAGTTACTATGGCAACAGTGCATGTTGACGATGATACGCAGCATGTATGCCCAAACCTTTAAGTATTAGATAGGGGTTGCACTACAAATATGCTGTTTTTTTGGAGACCTAGATCATCATCATACATTCAGTTTCAGTTTCAGTGTATTTTATTTTTATTTTATATATCATAATTTTGGAAAAACATAAATAATAAAAATACAGACATGACCTTGATGTCCTCAATGGTAGTTATGGCCCTGGCTGTGTGTTAGAACAATTAATATAAGTGTGAACTGAGCTCAAATCATGGTCAAACTGATAATTTTGCACATAAATGGAATGCATTCCCCACAGCTTACATTCAGAATATAAGAGTTTTTAAAAAAAGATCATTTAGCTCCAAGTCAAACATATTCCAGTTAAAAACTGTAGACTAAAGCTAGTGAGACAGCTAACTATGCTACTATGTACAAAGAAGGAAAACATGTTTGAAAGCCATGATCAATGAGATGATGCATGATATCACAGTTTAGCATAAATTTTGAATTTAAGAACCAAAGTTTATCTTGACGATTTTGGGATGTCATCAAATAAGCTCTTAACTAATTTAGAGCAATTGGCAATCAATGTGTAAAAAGCATATGAAAAAACATATTAATGTAGGGTGACCAGATTTGGGTTTCTCAA